AGAATAATCCCCTTCTAGTCTCTAGACTTTATACCTCTATTCATGCAACCCAAGGTCACCCTTGCTGCTGCTGCTTTTTTGTTTAAGTCAGCTTTAACTGAGGTCAGCTAGGATTGTGCCATGGGGTTCCTGACTTTCCTGAGGGCAGAGCTCCATTCTGAAGCCCTGAGTGTCTGACCCCCATTATTCCTGCCCTGTGCCCCTCCTCAGGACTGGCACTCTCCATGTGGGGGACCGTATCCTGGCCATCAACAGTGTGAGCCTCAAGGGCCGACCACTGAGTGAGGCCATCTACCTCCTGCAGGTGGCTGGGGAGACCGTCACACTGCAGATCAAGAAGCAGCTGGACCGTGAGCCTCACCCCAGGCCCGGGACATCCAGCCCTTGTAGGGAGGGTGATGCCTCTGCGCCGTGCCAGGCTTGTGTGCCCAACCTCATGGAATGCCCACTGCGTCCTGTGGAGGCGGGAGGCTGCCTGGGACAGCTGAGGAGATGAGAGAGGGCAGTGATGGGCCCCGGGGTCACACAGCTGCAGTGGGGGTGTCCTCACTGCCTCCTGCCTCAGGACTGCATGTGGTGGCGACTCATGCCTTCCTCAGTTTCCCCAGAGTTTGTGCCCTGTGCCCCAGCAGGGAGGCCACCACCAGCAGTGGGAGGAGCCTGCGCTTCAGGGGCTTCCTTCTCATCATCTGGGCGGCGGTGCTGCTCACCACGTGACTGTGGGCATGGGGTTTGGCCTCCCTGAGCTTCAGTTTTGCCATTTATGACAGGTTTTCTAATTAGGGTGCCAGCTCCCACATGTCAGACTGCCCAGCAGCAGCCCCTGGGGCTCAGTGCGTTAGAGTTCCTCTGGCAGACTGAAGGGGGGAGACAGGCTTGCTGAGCATCCCTGAGGTCAGAGGCCAGTGGCACTGACACCTTTCCTCAGGCTGCCCCGCCATGTGAGACCAGCGATGCAGATGAAGACCTGCTAGAGGCACTCAAAGGAAGCTTGCTGGTCTTATTTTTTGAACCCTGGCTGTCAGGCAGGCGAGGGCCAGTTGTTAGGGCGGAGGAAGGTGCCTCTGTTTCTCTTTGGCAACATCCTCTCCCCTGGTTTCCTCTGCTCCCCATCCCACAACCCGACAGCTTGGCCCTGAGACAGCTGTCATGATCTGCCTTCCCTCAGGGCAGACCTGCCCCCGATGGCAGATAGAACCTCGCACTAATAGTGGAAACCCAGACACTGTGATGGACAGGAGGATGGAATTCCTAGCTGAGGAGGTTCCTCTGTGCCCAGGCAACTGGCTAATAGGACGTGCCCGATGTTTGTCCTCCATCCCACCAATCCAGCGGCCCGCGCCCGCTGCCTGCATCTCCCACTCTGACGTGAATGAACTTCCCTCCGGGCCAGAGTGGCTGCTCTCAGCTTAAAGCACAGCGCTTATGACGCTGCCCAAACCTCCCTCTGCACGCCCTCCATTCACCTCTGACACAGGTCCTGCCCCTGCCCCTCTGTCCTTCCCTCTGTCACCACGCCTGTCCAGACCACGGTCATCTTTTGCTCCGACAACCCCATGGTTGCCGACAGCTCTGCCACCCAGCTTCCATTCCCACCTCTGCGGCCCAGTCTCTACCCAGCAGCTGGAAGATGCTCCTAAATCCACAAGTCTGTGTCTTCACTTAAATCCTTCAGAGTCTCCGGGTTGCTCTTGGGATGAACTCACCACTGCTTACTGTAATCCACAGCGCACTTCAGGGTCAAGCCCCCACCCCCCAGCCTCATTCCGTGCACCCCCTTCAGCTGCAGGGCCGCCTTCCACAGTTTCTGTCACAGGGCCTTTGCGCATGCTGTTCCGTCAGCCTGCCATGGACTCTTCCCTCCCCCACTTCTTGCTCATCTTTCAGACCTCAGCTCAGGAAGCTTCCCTGGCCCCTCACACTGGACAGATCCACCATCCTAGGCCCTCACCTTCCATGTACCTGGCCTCTGTGACATTTACTGCCATGTGTAATTTTATCTTATTTAGTTTTGCAACTAGCAGGGTAGCAGAATGGTTAAGACGCTCAACTTTGGAGCCAGACTCAGTTCAAATCTTAATCTCTCTAAGGCTCAGTGTCCTCATCTATAAAATGGAATACAAATAGTGGTGTTTGCCTGTCTTGCAATATTGTGGAGAATAAAACAGTTGTGTTACAGTACTTAGAGCTGAGCTCACACAGAGGAAGTGCTAATAATTCAGTGCCAAAGCTTAGTATTCAGACTGCTAGTGATCGGCGACCCTACCCTGCCCACCACTGGACTGACAGCCCCAGAAGGGTGGGGACCTCGACAGCCTGCATATAGTAGGTGTCCATGGTGCTCACTGCAGACTGAGCATGCTTGAGTGAAGAGCTGTGTCCCCGCAGGGCTCCATCATGATGGGCACGGTGCAGAGCATGGCCCTCAAGGGAAGGCCGGGCCACCGGTCCTGGTGGAGGGGTCGGGAGGTACGAGCTTCCCCTGAAGACATGCAGGAGCTGCTGCCGACACCCTTGGAGATGCACAAGGTGGGTGCTGGGCTGGGCAAAGGAGGCCTGGACGCACGTCCTAGTGCTGTGAGGAGTCACTGTGGGCTCCAGAAGCATATTTCCTCCGGCTTCTCGTGGGAATAGTTCATCCCAGAGTTGCCATTTCCTGACAGCCGTCCCCAGTGAAAGCCCTGCCTATGCACTTTGGGAATAGCCCCCGTGACACGTTCCTTCCACTCCTTAAAATCTGTATTTTTCTCTGGCTGAGACTAGAGCATATTCCTTGTATTTCTCAACATGGGGCTTACTTAGGGCTCTTGGGAAGCACAACACGCCAAGGGGCTGCACTACAAACGCCACTGGGGTCTGTGGGGTCCACGTGTAAATCTGTTCCACCAGGGGCTGCAGTAACGTGGGAATTGGGGGTGGCGTGCTGTCGGGATCTTCTAAAATGCACGAGTGGGGTGTCTGACATGTTTTTTAAATTCTATGCTGGCAAGAGTCAGCTACTTTTAGGATCTTGTGACATCTCACCTGCTTTTGATTAGTTTATTATTCATCCATTTGAAAAGGCTACCATGTACTATGCATCTTTTTAGCCCCATGAACAAGACAGTTGAGGACTGTCTGCACGGGGCTCTATTCTAGTTGATGACAACAAACAAGTGAACAAATGGTGAAGAATTACTTTGCAGGTATCGAATGCAAATGAATGAAAAAAAACAGCATAGGCATGACTTGGGGGTGGGAACAAGCTTGGTGAGGTCCAGGAGGAGGGAGGCCTGTAAGAGGAGGCGAGGTTCAGACAGGCTGGAGGTTGCTGGGCCCGGCTGGGAGTGCTGGGTAGGCCTGTGGGTTTTAGCTTCTGTGCACGAGGAAGCCACTGAGGCTGGTGAGCGGCGGGTCCACTGTATGGAGCCCCTTTAGCCTGGGTGGGGGCCCAGCAGTGCCCAAGGCTCTACAAGGCACCCAGGGCAGGAGCCCAGAGGGCAGGGCTGGGCGCCATTTGGGGAGTCTGAGTTCTGTGGGTAGAGGAAGGGCTCCTTTCCCATGCAGGGTGGGGTGAGTACCCAGCTTAGGAGGCGTGCAAGCAAGGCAGACCACAGCGAGTCCATTTACGGGGCCGGGCCGGGGAAGAGCACAGGGCTCTGCGGCTCTTCCTGGTGCTGGGAGGGTGACAGGATAGAGGCACTTCTGAAACAGAGACGGAGGTGGGCTGCCGATCCTACAGCCTGGCTGGGTACCAGGCACTGCTCTGCTTTGTAAGGACTCCCTGGATCCTAACAGGCTTCAGAGGTGGCTGCATTATTGTCCCAGCATTACAGATGAGGCAATGAAGCACAGAGAGGTTGAGTAACTTACACAGGATCACACAGGTAGTAAAGAATGGGGCCAGGATTTGAATATAGCCTGTAAAGCCAAGATACAGAGCTAGGTGAACTGAAGCCATCAGAAAGGCAGACAGCTAGAAAAGTTGGGGAGGGTTATTTTAGTCTACATTGTCATAGTGAGTTACTAAGATTTTTTTTGGTTTGGGAAGTTGGCATTCAAGGACCCAGCAGGATCCCCTGACCTTCCCACTGGTGGGATAAGGGGGTCAGGGACAGTGGATAGAAGGCTGTCCAAAACTTACCTGCCCTGTGATCCACGATGCTGAGCCCCTCACCAGGCCTCAGTCTCCCCATCCGTAACACCGCATTGGGCTCAAAATTCCCAGAGCAAGAACGTCTGTGACACTTACCTTCCGAGGTCCTGACTGTCTGTGACTTCATCTGTATTTGTGTCCCTCCAGGACTGGCCTCTTTCCCCTTCTTCCAGCAGCTTAGACTCTGCCTTGGAGACAGCGACAGCCCCTTCAGGTGCTAATGATGTCACCTCTGTGCTATAAGCACCCCCTCCAACCACCCTGGAAGCCTTGGAGGAGGTGGTGGTTTATTCCAGGAGGGGAAACTGAGGCTCAGAGGTCCAGGGCTGGACACACTGCAGGTGGGCCTCAATCAGTAGCACCAGAGGAACCAGTCAGAGCAGACCCAGGAGTCTGAGGACTTGGGAGTGACTTGTGACTCTCACCGGCTTGCTGTGTGCACTTGAGGCGACCACGTCCCTTCTGTAACCCTCCACATGAGTGTCTCCGACCTCAGGAATACCTACCTTTGAGGAACATGCTGGGGCAGGACTGAAAGCCCTGTGTAAACTGTAAAGCGCTCACCAAACGTGAAGAAAAATAGCCTCATCAAAACAGAACCCACACGTGGTGGATCTCAAAAAGGAAATGTTTATTTTCATGTTATAAGGTGATTACAAACTCTAAAAAAAAGCAAAGATGAATTTAAAATATCGATATACATATTTATCTAAAAAGCAAAAGAGGAAAAGAAAAACCCCACAAAATACAGGGATTCATATAATAAAACATTTATACACAAAAGCTTGTATACTGTAAGACTGAATTACACACCAAGGATCTTATTCAAATACAAATGTCCCTCCTCAGAAGAGTCTCTTGGTTGTTTTTTTTTTTTTTTTTACAAAAGTTTAAAATATCTTAAAAATATTTTGAAGTTTTAAAAAAATGTCCTGATGAGCCAGACATATTTCTGGAAGGAGGCAAGACCCACGTTCTCAGCTTTCTCCTGTGCTAAATACAGTCAGTTGCTAGGGATTCGAAAATTAATTGGGTAAAAAAAAATGGAACCAACATCTCAATTTGAAGCCAAATATATAACAAGATGCTCCCTCCCTTGGGGAACGTGTTCAGAACATGTCTGTAGTGACACCCACAAGAGAACAATGAAAACAGCTTCCTATTAAAACAAGATGCAATCTGAGGGCCAGGTATTGAGGGAGGGAGGTGGGCAAAGAAATGCTGTTCCCTGGCTCTGTGTTGCCCATACCCCTCTCCAAGTTTTGATATCTGGGTTTTTGTTTGCTTTTTTGTTTTGTGCTTGTTGGATTTTTGCACAGTGGTATTCACAGCATCCATGTGGATATCTACCTGATACTGAGTCTGGGGCTGGATGGGACCTCTAGCTACCTTGAGATGGTTTTTCTCAAGTATTCTTTCCTGGCCTGTGTCTGAGGCTTGGGGAGAAGGTGCCTCTGCCTTCAACACAGGCTGCCCAGGGCCTTTTGCCATCCAGAGGGGCAGTGCTGGGAGATGCTGGCTGGGCCACTGACCACTGTGTGGGGGCAGCTAGGTGACAAGAACACCCTGTGCTAGGATGAGCGGGGTCAACCACCTCATCACCACCATGGCTGGGGGTATGCAGGGGATCTGGGGTGAGAACAAGGGAACAGAGGTACAGAAATGGGGCTCTGTATTGTCCCCAAATCATCCAAGGCCACTTCCTGCAGCCTGGGAATTTTCCACAGGACCTCAGGCTAAATCCTGCCATAAGGATTCTACCTCTTGCATACCACCTGGCTTTGTTAGTCCCGTTTCCTCACATGCAGTGGGACCTTAATGCCTGGCTCTCAGAGGGCTGCCGGTGCAGGGCCAGGATGAATGGTGCTGCCTCTCCTACCAGACGCCAGTCACCTGTCCCACCAAGTCACAGCCTGGGGTCCAGTTGGCCTGAGGATGGTCAGAAGGTGGGGGGTGCTGCTCACCTTGTCCCTGAATGCTGGGGACGAAGTGTTTCCTTCTCATAAAGGGTCATCTTTGGTCTTCAGGGAGAACCCCAGGGAGCTGCACTCACCACTCACCGCATGCGCCTTGGAGAACCTGCCACCTGAACGGACTCCAGACAGTCTGGTTCCAGTCCTCAGTGTCCCCACTTTACAGTGAGGTCCTGGAGGCCTCCCCATCTCTGACCATGCAGGATTCTCGGCTGCAGGGACTAACATGGTCTGTGCTCAGCTGAGTGAAGCATTTCCCTGGGTGAGATCTCTCCTGGGGCCCTCACTCATTTTTGCAACGTAAAAAATTCTGTTGACATCTCCCTTGCATCCATCCCTTCCATAGCTGGCTGCCTGGACTACATGCGGCATCAGAATTTCCAACCCACCCCAGAAGCAGAGCAGGTGGAGGACTGTTCTCTGGACAGGTGGACCAGAGCCATGGGCTCCAATGACAGTTTCCTTTATGTGGAGACATAGGTAAAAGCTGCACGTCATTACACATTGTACTCATAGAGCCAAGTTCTGCGGATACACGTGAGCTAGAAGACTGGACAAGAAGGCTGTGACTGGAGACAGGTGCCCTGGGAGACTGGAGGAATGGGCTTGGGGAAAGCGGCTGACCTTCCCTCCAGGTGGGGCCTGGGGACTTGGTCTACATGTGTCTTTGGTCTAGAATTTGGTCTGGGAATTTTAGAGTGAGAGGCCTTTCTCAGGCCATTTCCAGAATGTCATAATTTTCCGGCCAACCCTGAAATACTATAGCCTTCACCAGGGGTCTGCATCCCTGGAGGGAAGATGCTGTAGCCTGAAATGACCACAAATGCCCAGGAAGCTACAGCTTGCCAAGCCCCCCTCATCCCCACACGTCACCTGTTCCCAGTCATTGACAGTGGTTAGTTTACTAAATAAAGTTCCATGACAAAGGAAAACAGGTCACACTGCTACTCAGTACAATTAGAAAAAAAAAACAACAATAAAATCAGATCAGACACAGTGGAAACCATAAATACATAGAAAAACAGGAACACATTATAATTGTTAACGGTTTGGAATAGGGTTGGGTGTTGTTTGGCAGAGAATATGCTTTGGAAACAGTGAATGTGAGTGCTTGCCAGAGACGAACTGCCTCTGCCCCCTGAGCGGGGACCCCAGAGGCTCCCCCCTCCAGAGCCTGGGGCGGGGTCCAGGAAGCAGCGCCTCAGCTCTTGACTGAGCTGGCTGGCACCCGCCACACCCCCCGAGGCTGTCGCTCTGGTTTGTATGTGACGATGTTTCTGTTTAGATTCTGAACTTGGAAGTGACTGTTTACATGGCACAGTTTCGGTCCAGATGGGGCTGGGGCAGAGGCCTGTCCGCACTCAGGATTGTAAAGGGGGAGTACCTTCCCCTGGCTCAGAGAGGAACACCGCCCCGCACCAGGCTCTCGGTCAGGCCGGTCGGGGTTGTCCGAGCCCCGGAGCCACCCCAGCCTTCGAGCACGCTCCCTCTACTCTCCCAGTCTCCACACATCCGACACCAGCCACTGCAGCGGTTGTGCAGTGGAGATTGATGACCCAGGTCAGCATCGAGGGCTGCACTTGGGCCCCAGCGGGGAGGAGCGACCTGGGGGGAATTCCCCCGGAACAAACCCTCTGCGACCCTCCAAAGACACTCTTGGCACTTCCCGCAAGACGCGAAGGTGGCCAGGGCTGGGAGGTCTGGGGTGTCCCACCAGAGCCAGCGGGGGTTTCCCAGCCTCCGGGGGATGAGGGTGGAGAGAGGAGGGAAGAAAAGCCCCAATCCCAGGTCTCACCCGCTCACCCCTTAGCCTTCACCAAATACGCCATGCTTCCCTCCCACAGACAGCTCCAAGCTGCCAGCTGGGGAGCCCCAGGACCTGACGGGACCCCATTAGGGTGCAGCAGACCCACCCGGTGAGGTGGCAGCCCTCAGATCCCAGCCCCTGCTGGGCTGGGTCAGGCCTCCTCCTGGGACGCCCCAGGTAGGACTGCGAAGACGCTGGAGCCTGTCCCCACCAGCCCCCTGGGGCGCCACCGCTCCTCGTGGGTGAGTGGCTCTGCCAGCCCGCCGAGGGTCCCTCTCACCACCCGCCCCTCATCTCAGAATGAAAGGTGGGATCCTGCTCTTTGTGCAAGAGTTTCCCGGCTCTCAGCATCAGATTCTGCTGTGGAGCGTCCTCCTGCTCAGTCCGCCCTGTGATCTGAGGCTGGGTCATGACTCGGGCACCACTCCTCGTGGCCGAGACCCGCGCAAGGAGGCGTCTGCTCCCAGCCCTCCTCCTCCAGCCCCGCTGGGTCTGGCCAGCGGCGGGCCCCTCTCCCCGCCGTTTGCTTCTCCTCGAGCCAGGTTGGAAGGTACTACACCTTTAACATGGGTCTGCCGTCCCAGGAAAATTCCACCTTGCGTTTTCTCGGGCAGAACTTTCTGCCAGCTACACAAGCACCGAAGAATTGCTTTTGAAAATGAGATCTATTGCTGGCAAGGTCAATTCAAGTGGTAAAAGTGTTTGACAATCTCTAAATGTATACATAGTTATTATGTAAAAAAAAAATACGAAGAAAAATTTACCAAGTTCCCATAAAATACATCTAATTCAGTATGAAAGCTCTGCCTCACCCAGGACATCTGCCCAAGGGTTTTGGTTTTTGTACAAAATATCCCCAAATCAGAACAAAGTACACATACGCACAATACTGTAGACACACACACACACACACACACACACACACACACACACACACACACACAGAGTAACATTTTCTGTGACAATTAAAAAAAAAATCCTAGTGCAAATGTAAAGCTCTGTAAACCTGGTCCTATGAGAATCTAAGGTTAGTAAACAGCAGGCAGGCAGCCCCTGCGGCCGGGCGGGCTCACATCATGGTCTCCACGACGATGTGGGTGGGCTTCAGGAGCACGCCATTCGCGGTGACGCGGGAGCTGGACGGTGTAGCCCCCTCCCGCTCCACGGCCCAGTGGTTGGGCTCCCTCGGGGTCAGCAGGTACTTGAGTCTCTGGAGAAGGAAGGACAGAAGCAGGGAAGAGGTCAGGCGGCCTGGCTTCCCTCTTCACCTCGACAATCTAACCGCTCCCGGGCCTGCCCGTGTGCTGTTTGGCCTTTGGTGAACTATTGCCCTCTCTGGGCTGCCCATTTCACCCACTGACAAATAAGGTTGTTGGACTAAGGTGCTCCTGAGGTCTCTGCAGGCCCTGAGGCAGGCCAGAATTCCTACCGGTAGCTTCCTGGGCCACCCCCTGCTTACACACCTCAGGGACAGGGGGGCTCACACCTCCAAGCACTGACTGCTTTCTCCCGTGGAGCTGAAACATGCCTCCTGTGTTTCCTGTTGCCCGATTTCTCTGACTTGCAAAGCAGCCCAGCTTCTGCAGTTTGTACGCCTGAGGCTGGGTGACTGTCCTCAGCCTCCCATAGCTCTCACCTTGCCAAGGAGGAAACTCCAACTCCTCAGCTGCCCCCAAGCTGCACTTCCTTCCTCCTTGCAGATGGGTCTCCCCCATTTCCCTGCAGGTACACAGTCCTCCCTGCTGACGGCTGTGGACCACTGCTGGTGTCTGAGCGGCACCTCTGGACAGAGGGAGGCCAGAGGCTGGGCCCCATGAGAATCCCCACAGCACTTCCGGGCAGGGGCAGGTCGGTCCTCCCAGCTGGTTGCCTTGACCGTGGGATCAGTGAGGGAAAGGACCCCCTGTCCCTGGATGCCCAGAAAACCCACAGCATAACTGGAACTCAGACGCAGGGCTCCTGTCTGCCAGCCCACCTCCTGCCCAGTGTCCACCAGACTTAAACAGGAAGCATTTAAATAGCAGTTAATTAGGCAGTGGATCAGAATGCCAAGGGGCACCTCTATTAGTCATCCCTTGTTTCCACTCTGAGGTTCCTACTTGCTGCACATGAAGCAGTTATGCCAACCCTGCCTTTTGTGAACCCAGGCATGTGCAGTCTGCGCTATGCTCAGGTCAAGCTTATTCCAGCAAGAGGACTACCTGCATGCAGAGTCACAGGCATTTGCAGTAAGAGGCAGTAGGCAGGAGGGTGGGGACAGCGTCTGCTGCAAATGTTATCATTAGTAACTGCGAGCCCTGTGCACACATAAGGATGATGTTATAGAAGCATCTTTAATAGGGGGACTAGAATTGAAGTGGCAGTGTCCCTAACTTGATCAGTCCACAAACGCTAGTACCCATTTCCCCTTCCGGACTCCTGACGTCAGCTTTCACCTGCCACACATGATCTTCCCCCCAGGGACCCAAGTATGCCATTCCTCACCTCCGATCGGGTCACAGCACCAGCTCCGTGGAGAACCAACATCTACTGGGCATGCTGGAGGCTGGTTCACTTCTTCCCACTGAGGCAAATCTAGGAGCATGCTGACATCTGGAACATCCACAGCTGGGCACCCAGTAGCCAAGTGCATTCAATGCAGGCAGAATGGGGCATTTCTACAGCAAATGCAGCCCTTCTGAAGTCCCACCTACCGCTTGTACTCATTTCTGGGCCCCTTCCTTTTAATCCAGTCATCCTCCACATGCACTGGGTCATGCTCGGTGTCTTCTAGTGTGTGCCAGCAATCTAGTTTTCTCTCTTTTTTCTTTTATATAGCATTTATCAAGATACCACTTCACACCACATAAAATTCACTGCTTTAAAGTGCACATTTCGGTGGCTTTTAGTCTATTCACTATATGGTACAACCATCACCATGATCTAATTCCGGAACATTTCTACACTCCCCCCAGAAGCAACCCTGCACCCATTAGCAATTAGTTCAGATTCCTCACTCCCCCATTCCATGGCAACTATTAATCTACTTTTTGTCTCTATGAATTTGCCTTTTCTGGACATTTTATATAAATGGGATCATGCAATATGTGACCTTCTGTGTCTGGCTTCTTAGTGCAATGTTCTGAGGCTCATCCTGTTGTAGCTGATGCCAGGTCACATTCCTTTTTGTGCCAGAATAGTGTTGCATTGTATGGATAGGTCATATTTTGTTTGTCCATTCATCTGTTGATGGACATTTGGGTTGTTTCTGCTTTCTGGCTATTGTGAGTTGTGCTGCTATGAATATTTGTGGACAAGCTTTTGGGTGAAAATGTTTTCAGTTCTCTGGAGTATGTACCTCAGAGTGGAATTGCTGGACTTACCATTAACTCTATATTTAACTGAGGAACTGTCAGACTGTTTTCCAAAGTGGCTGCACTACCAGCATATGAAGGTTCCAGTTTCCCCATATCCTTGCCAATATTTGTTATTTTCCATTACAAAAAAATTCTAGCCATCCTAGTGGGTGAGCATGGTATCTATTTATGGCTTTGATTTTCATTTCCCTGATGACTAATGATATTGAGCATCTGTTCAGACAGCATTAGTTTTGATCACCACACAATGTGGAGGACAATTCATAGTCTTGGGCTTGAACATTTAGCAGCCAGATTCAAGCTTTGTCTTTCTTTGGCTATCAGCTGCCACCCCCAAGCTGCTCTTGAGCAGAGCCCTTAACTTCTTGGAAGCATCAGATAGATCCCTTCCAGTCAAATCAGTGCTTGTTGTTAATCAAAATTCTGGTTGAAGTGTTAGAAACCCACTTCACACTGGCTTGAGCACAAAGAGGGATTTATTGTCTCTTACCTAATGAAGCCCAGGCAGTGATAGCTTCAGGTATGGCTGGATCTAGGTGCCCAACAGATATCATCTGGAAGCTCTCTGTTGCTTTCAATATCAACTGTACTTTCCTCTAGGTCAGCTTTATTCTGTGACAGACTCTTCCCTCTTGGTGGCAAGATGACAACTTCAAGCAGCCCCAGTTTCACTTCTTTTTAGTTAGCAACAAGCAGTGAAAAGGGACTTCTCTTTTCCAATTGATCCAGGAGGGTCCCAGGCTTGTCTCTTGCTGGACTAACTTGGTTCATGAACCCATCCTTAAGCCACGATTGTGGCCATGGCAATGGAATTTTGCTGGCTAAGCTCGGGTCATATCTCCATCCTTAGAAATAGATGTGGGGTCAGGTCCTCCCACCAGGTGGTCTGAGAGTAAGGGAGTGGTGGCTCCCCACAATAAACTGAGGTGCTATCACCAGAAGGGAGAGTGGACATAGGACAGATAGATACCACATGTGTCCACTACACCCCTAGACCTGGCTGTCAGGGGCTGTCCCTCTTCCTGATGTCCCAGCAAGACACCTGCTGTAGCATCAATAGACCAATAGCTGGGAACATGGCTCCGTGAGGACAGTCAGTGAATGAACAATTGGGAGGCTACAGGTTCAGGGAAGAATACACAGACGCCTCCGTAAACTCACTTTGGCTTGTCCAGCACTGGTTGTGAGAAATAAATGGGCTTCCGCATTTATTCCCTCACATGAAGGAAATACCAATTCTTTATGACAAAGCACCTCTCGCAGTGAGTCTCCCTAGAGCTGGTAAGAGTTGGGGTTTGATCTGGCTTTTGTTCCCTCCGGATTTTTCTTCAAGTGGCAGGAAGCAGCACCCCCATCTGAAGAAGCCTCATCATCGTGGTGGCAGCAGGCTGACTCACTTGCTCAGCCCTGCCCGGCAGGGCCCCTCAGTTCTGGTTAGGGGCCGCGTGCATGAGTGTGCATGCACCGCCACAAGCCACACCCACCCACAACTCCACAACACTGCCTCACATATTCTCAATGCCAACCAAACACATCCTGCCTGAAGTGAGTGTAGCCCCCTACGCCTGGGGCTGCCAACAGAATCCGCTCTGCAAAGGCTTGGTTCTTAGACAGTGGGGTGTGAACATCTTGCTGACGTTATAGCACGTCTGCCCCACACACCGTCTCGGCCGACACGGAGCCACGCACCTGCCGCAGGGAAGGTGGGCGTCAGTGCAGCAGATGTTGTGTGCTCTGTGAATGCTTCAATATGTACTCTCTGCCAAGGGCGTTTGTTGCCCAAACACAGGACGTGGGGAGGGGGTGGGAGGGGGAGGAGGACAGAGCGGGGTGCTCGAGTCTTCCCCAGGCTGTGGCTGCCTGACCTGGATCCCAGCCTCGGAGGAAAACAAAAGGCTACCCTGGTTTTATTTTTTAAAACAAGCTCAGGAAGATATTAGAATTCATTATATAGAAACAAACAAACAAACAACACGTGGGCTGTGGAGTCAGAGAAACCTGGTTTGGGGTCCCAACTCTACCATTTAACGTGCTGGGTGAACTTGGGGCACTTGTTCAGCCCTAGGAGCCTCCTCACTTGTAAAATGTGTATCTCAGAGGTAGTTACTGCAGAAAGTTGTAGTCAGAGAAAGTTAGGTTGGTGATTTCTTAAACTGGAGGCAATGTTGGATGTTATTTTCTTTATTTGAGCTTGTAGGGTGGTATGTGAGGGCAACTTTGCCCCGATAATAGATACCATGAACCTCTTCTAGTTGCCCTGGGTCTCAGTTGCCTGTCCCTGACTTTGGCTTGCCCACAGGGGTGTGTCCATAGATCCTCTCCTCTGCAGATCCTGCCCCATCCCGATTTCCAGGTATCTCTGGGCTTGAGGGGAAAAGGTTTTATGTTGCATAGTATTTTTCTGGTAGTAAGTGACAGAAAATGAGAACTTCTTGATTCGTATAATTAGAAAGTTCAGGGGCATATCTGACCTCCAGAGCAGTTAGAACAGGGGCACAAACAGGTCACCTGTACCTGATTTTAGTCTGTCTGTGTCTTTCTTCTCCACTTTCTCCAAGCTGGCTCCATTCTCAGGCTTTCCCTCATGGTCACAAGAAGGCTGCCAGCAGCGCTGGTTCATGTCCAGCCTAAAAAGGTAAGTCTCTATCCTGGCATCCTCAGTGAAATCTTGAGACATTCTGACCAGCAGGCTCAGGAGACCATGAACCAGGCAGGGTACCCTGAGGAATGCACCACACATGACCTGGGTCATGGGCTGACCTCAGGTGGGCAGCCTTGCCTGGCCCACAAATGCAAAGCACCTCCTCAAATAAAAATTGGGGGTTCTTGGTAGCACAAGAGAGTGGGAGGCTGGCAAGACAAACTGCATTCCAGGGAATGCAGCATTGAATCTTCTCATTGGTGCTCTTACCTGGGACCTGGTGTCCCTGTTCTGAGCACTGGCCCATGATCCAGATTAGCATTGGAAAGTAGAATTATCACTACCTGCTTGGCTGTTGTGAGCAGTCAGTGGGTCACAGAAGTAAATGCTTAGCTCATTGTGCGGAAGCAATGCCTTAAGCAACCAAAGCCATTTCCATCTCCTAGATGTACAAGGAAAGCAAGTTTCCTGCCTTCCTGAAGATAGACTGAGAGTTAAAATACGTAGAGCACCACTTGAGAATGGACTGATACAGGTGACTTGCTTCCAAGGAGTAGGTTTGCGCAGGGTTAAGGATGACTTAATGGTGGAGAAACATGACAAATCCTGCCTCACACCAGGCCAAGTTCCCGTCCATGATGAGTCACTTCAGTCTCACACACCTTTGATATAAGAGGATGAAGATGCTGTTTTACCCTCTGGGGTCTTCCTCCCCCAAACCCATAATCCAATCAAACTTTTGATAAAACTATCAGAGAAATCCAAACTGGGGGACATTCTATCAAACACCCAGCCAGTACTGCTTACAACTGCAAACCATTTGTTTCTGAGAAATGGTTACAAACCAGAGGAGATTAAGGAGACACAATAACCAGATGTCAACATGGCATCCTGGATGGGCCCCTGGTATGGAGAACAACATTGTAGAAAAACAGGTGAAGCCCAAACAATGTGTCGAAGCCCAAACAATGTGTCGAGTTTGTTAACAGCGATGAACCAGTGTGGGTTTCTCGGG